AGTGTTTAAAATAAATAAAGTTCAATTAAAGTATCTAAATGAAACTTTGTGCCAACTATAAGGGGTCATTGATAAATTCAACCAAATTCAACACTTCGTTAATGTAATTAAAATTCAAAATCATTCGCCTCCAAAATTATTCTTGTAAATCAATCGAAGATGGCTTTCATATATAGGCATGAATATGATATCCATGAATGTGAAGGTCCAGTCAAAAACGTGGAAGGTGTGGCATATGTCAAGCCTACCCTACTGTACAACTTGTCTCAGACATGCATGTACTCCACCATTTGCATTGGTCATAAAAATCTCAACCGATTCAAGTTTAAGTTTTAATCTATTTGAAGAGAACTTTTAATTAAGGACAATTTAATTTTTAATTATAACTTATTTTAAGACTTTTTATTTGTATTGATGTAATGTATGTTCCTATATTAAAAATATGAATTACTATTTATTTTTAACTTTTTAGAATTTATTTATCCTTTTGTAATTTCTTTGAATAAAATTTCGTAAGTTGAAATTCAAATTATGGTTATAAAAATGAAATAATATGTTAAAATTATTGAGATTAAGCGAATCAAATTGGACGAGTCATGACCTAACCTGAATTTTGGCATATTTGAGTCCAACCCATTTGAACCCAAAGTAAAGTTGGGCAGGTCATTATTCAATCCAATTTATGTTTCAACTCATTTTAATTTCTTTAATTTCAACACAACCCACCAATTAACACCCCTACACATAACCAACATTATTTTTCTTTTTATATAGAATTTCTCTGACTTTTTCTTTTTTTCAGAATGAATTATAAATGATGCAACAGGGTGTTACAAATATTTGAAATATGTTATTATCTTCATTCCATTTTATATGCGTTAATTTAATTTGACATAGAGTTTAAGAAAGAAATTAAGACTGTTGAAACTTGTTGTCTAAAATAAATTACTCCTTCTGTTTCCATTTATATGTTATCATTTTAGATTTTATGTCTCTTAAAAAACTATGTAAATTTACCATTGTACCTTGTTATTTAGTATTCTTTTGAAATCAAGTAGTTTTAATAAATGAACATAAATCAATTTATTTTAATTAATTAAATTGACCAATGAATATGAATTAATCATTTAAATTTCCTATGTTGATCAAATTCATATTTTTAAGGCTAATAATTCTCAAGAGTAAAATAAGAAGAATAATGTCATTAATACATTGATTTTGTAAAATGACAATATTAAGGATCATCTATTTTAATAATGACCATCTATTTTTAATAAGGACGGCATATAAAAAAGAACGGAAAGAATAGATATATGTGTGACTATAAATAATTTCATTAAAAATAAAATGAACATTTCAAAATTAACTGCTATTGAATATATAATTGTATCATTATTTTTAGAACATATTAAAAAGGTAAGTCTTATAAATCATAGACAGAGGGAGCATAAAGAAGGCATTCAATCAACATTGGTTGTGGTGCACCGATGAGAGTGTTTCATCCAACCAGAGGACTCGAATTCAAGCCCTAAGTATGGAAAAAATCATATTGGGAGCACCACCCCGAATGGACCCTGCAATGCGCAATCCGAATTTAGTCGAACCTCCAATGTGATTCCGAACACAAGGTGGTCAACCAACAAAAAAATAAACAAGAAAGAGGTTAAAATAGCAGCGAAAAGAATTTCGATTGGTTCTCATTCCGAAGACATAGGGTGACAAAAGCAAGGGGCAAGTTATACACCGAAAAGCCTTCAGCTTGAATTCTAGGTGACTGCCACGTGTACTATTATCCTTTACCATCTTATACACAAACTTAAAAGAAAGTAAAAAAGACAAATACACAAAAATTTCTTATTCAGAATTTACTACTGGCATAATCGTTCTTAAAAGAAAGTAAAAAAGACAAATACACAAAAATTTCTTATTCAGAATTTACTACTGGCATAATCGTTTTCACTTATAAATAAATATCTACAACTCATTTTAAATCATAAATTTTACGTGAAACACGATATCACACAATATAGAATGGAGGAGTATGTATAAACATGTACTATATAATCTTTGCGCTGTTCCTTTAAGGATAGAGCATGAAAATATGTATTGCCTTAACGTTTTGAAATTTGAATCCTCATCTAATTAAAGCACTGTTTAATTACGTTAGTTAGGTAAAGTCTTTAACTTGGCGTTGCACCTAACTTAAGTGCATAAGGGGAGTAACTCTTCCTGGATTAACTAAAATGGAAGCGCAAAAAGGTCAATTTTTTGTTACAAGTGCATTTGAATCATGATAAACTATATCTGTTAGTTAACATCAACATAAATAATAACTATATTAATCGTGATCGTCAAAGCTAAACATATGAGAATTGCTAACAATTTTATTGACTATAGACTATATTATAGGAAGGTAAGCACATCTACATCAACCACTACTCAACTGAATACTGATGACTTACAACGGATTTCCTCTTTCTATTAAGAATTTCTAAAGAAAAAGACCCTCGGAAGAGGAAAGAAGGGGCTTTTGATCGAGATGGGAAGAAGAAGCACTGCAAAAACTGTGGGAATTAGGAACTAACTTCGTTCTATTGCCTAGCTAACATTAAGGAGTAGGCGGAATGCTTAAGAAAAAAAGAAAGTGACTTGGGGACAAAAGAAAAAACCCTCTTCTTCTCAATGTCAATACCTAAAGCTCACTGAACTTGAGCTATCGTAATTCAATTTTCGCAATCCCTCTCCCCTTTCCCTATCGGTGGAGTAACTGCGTACCTCTATAGAGCTTTCTAATGCGTTTTCTGGACATCATATATATGATCATTCTTTCTTAAACGACACATCAAAACTTGAAAAGCTAGAGGTTGATCTAATTAAAGCGTAGGCACATTTCTGAAACTTTATTGGTTTATATGAAGGAAGACCAATAGAACTACCCAACAAGTACTACTTTATAATGACAGAGATTCTCTGAAAAAAACAATCCTTTCAATCAATGTGTGCTGTTATTTCTACGTGTGAATGCGGTGTGCATAATGATTCAATCTCCTTTTGTGCAAACATATCATTCAATATATGAAAATCACCTAAGTTTTGATGTCAGTTTAAATCTTAAATTCGACTCAAAATTCAGAATTGATGAACTATTCACTTAGGAGTAAAACACTCATTAATTACCGAAAACCTACAAGCTCAAACCCTAGTAATAAAAAATATATAATTTAAAAGTTTAAAGAATCAGCTTTTCATAATGTTACCATCAACCTCATAAAGACGAAAGAAAAAAGAAAAAGTTATCATCAACGTAGCTATAGTCTATAACAAAGCATTGTTGTCAGGATAACAGTGTAATATATCTTCAAAACAATTCTTTTATCACTATTTAATTTACACTCGTTAGAGAGGTTCAAACTGTCCCAATGAAATTACATAATGAATTGCTGAACGTTTCATCATCTATCAATTCGTTTATCTCTCATGTGAATTGTTAGTGAATGATTTTTTCTAAGTAACCAGCAACAATAGGCAACTGTCGTCTATATAGTATGTAAGTTAATCTAATAAGCTAAACAATATGTTAAAAATATACAATATTATTTTATTTTAGGACATGATCGGTGTATATATTAATTAAATTCATTTAAATATGAAGTGTATATCCCTAAACAAAGAAAAGAGTAATTTATTTAGTTGCAGCTGCATGTCCAATAATTTCCATTATTTAATCTAGTTCTTAATTATCTCAACCCATGCAATGATATCAATTCTTGTTACGGATAATTAAATGAAGATATAAGCTATCATTTATTATTTGCAGTAGTGTCTTCATGTACCGAGGGATTTCGACATATGGACATACACACATATTAAATATGATTGATAATTGGTCAAAATGTTGAAATTCAAACATGTTAGAATTAAACTCTTATCATTATATCTAAAAATATAGCTGAACTTTATTTTTCAATCAAGTTCTCAAGTGTCATGTCGGATTATAATTCCGACTTGGCCCATCCACAGTCCCTTATGGATCTTGTCATGGGAAGAATGTTGATAATATTCAACAATCAACACACACAAATGTTCTTAAGGCGATAGTTCAACTAACAAATAAATATATTTTAAAATCATGTATATATGTGAATGTGATCTACGTCTTCTTCATCGATCCTTTCCCATTAATATTACACAGTTGGTTTTTAAGAACTTTAAAAACAAGAAATGATGGATAATTATCAATGAACACACTTTTTATTACCAGAAAATAAACCTGACTTTTCTAGAACGAGCTGATCAACTGCCTGTTAAAAAATCAACTCCCTCCATATATATCAGTTTGATTCAACTGGTTAGTGTAAATTACCTAGTAGAATGTTTACTACTACAAGTTAGTGCATCTTTTTAGCTCTTACATACAAATATTTGGCATGCGTCTCAAACATCTAACATATATATATCAAGAATAATTTCACTTGATATACGTTTTTGGATTATTAGATTGAAATTAAAGATAGCAAAGTATGAAATTCTCAACTTTGATGTATTCAAAGTTAAGTTCAAAGCTTCCACTTAAAACTAAAACAAAAGAGTGAAGATCCTACATTTTTTTAACATAATCGCTTTCAAATTCTTTCAAGATCGATGTGATAATTATATCATGGGGAATAACATCTCTCCAGCTTCTTTGAAACTTGAGTAATCGAGTTAAATCATTTGTTATATACCTATATTGTCCATCTTATTCGTAGATCAAATTGGTTCAGTGATTATTTATATGAATTCAACCTTGAAGAACAAAAAATTTAAGAAGATACAAGGATAATCTTCATAAATTGAAATGAAGTAAAATCAAGTCATTAGATTTCACGATCTCAACAAACTCTTTTTACAATTTATAAGTAGAGATTACACAAGAAGTGCTTGCAAATCCTCCATTTGCGAAAGATTTTATGAACAAAAGAAGCACAATTACCAATAATAGTTATTTAGCATTATATACGTAATAAAGTACTTAGGTAATTTAATTACCTGCTAGTTGCATCCTCATTAACGACCCAATCTAAGAGCAGCTTTAGCATCAAGTCTCCATGCAAATCCTCCAAATTCCATCTTCCATACATCACACGGCATTGTCTGTGAATTCTTCGTGTACAGTATCCTCACAGTGCATGCAAAAGCTGATGAGTTAGGCAACAATATTTTCTCCTTCACTACCAGCCACGTCACCAGCTTCGGCGAATTTCCAGAACCTTCTAGAGGATCAACCATTCTCCGGTACGCCAGATTCACCCACTGAACTCTATCTAAACCGTCTGATATCAACCCTGGACACGTGTCAGCCTCCAGATTCTTCATCTTCTCCATGTCCGTACTACCTAACGCTTCTCCCTCTACCAACGCGTTTGTCATCCGGTCTACCAACACCCATGACTCCACCACTCTTTTCTTCGGAATCTCCACCGTCCGATCTATCTGATCTGATCCTACGGGGAAAATTTCACTATTCTGAAAATTCATCCAGAAAGGTCGAGATCCGGAATTTTCTAGACTGTTTTTGACGCCGCTACTACTTTCCGGCATCAACTGAAGAGTTAAAACAGCTCCGTTATCCTCGTACAGTGAAGATCCGTCTTTATTTGCTTCGTCTTCTTTGTTAGACTTGCACTTGCTACTTTTCTTAACTCTAACGTACTTTCTCTTCGCTCTTCTTTTGGTAACAAGTTCCGTGTTGTTATATTCTGGTGTAGATCCATCAGATGAACCACCGGCGACAGGTTTCGGTGCGATCGGTCGGAATCTTAGCATTATCCGATTCATTATCGTCGTATCGTGCGGTCCACCGGTGTACTTAGCAGCAGGAAAACCATTTCCAGCGTCCATCACAGCTGAGGAGGTCTCTCCAGGAGGTGATTTTAGACTGAGAAAATGTAATTTGACCGGTTGCCAAGCAGATTATCATAGTTACAGCACAGTGATAGGGGTGAAGAAAGGACACGTGTCTAGGGCAAATGTAGAATAGTGAAGATATTTGATTGGTGCAGAGCAATTAGGTGGGTCCTCTGATAAAGTAGCGTATCCATGGAAATTGAGTGTCCTGATTGGTGTGAAGGAAAGAGCCAATGAGAAGGTGGACACGTATATTGCACTGAGACAAAAAAAGGTTCCACGTATGTACCTTCTAAGTTGTGAGGACCAAAGTGGTGAATACTTTTTGGTGGGAGGTTGTCATTACTGGACGCGTGTCTACTGGTAGAATAGTTACCATTCACGCTCCTTGCTCGCCCGTGACATTCACCACACTCCCCCTCCGTTTAATTTATTTATCTGATTTTAATTTGATATTCATTTTCAGAAGTAAAAAATACTTCTAAATATTTTTATCATATTTTTACAGATATTTATTGAATGTAATGAACTATTTTTTGATTTTGTTATTTTCAATATGCAATCTACAATAAAAATGAAACAGCCTCTCTACCTCCACGAGGTAGTGGTAAGGTCTGCGTAGACTCTACCCTCCCTAAACCCCACTTAGTGGAATTTCACTGGATATGTTGTTGTATATAAAAATATTTCTCCTGTCTTATTTTGTATGATTTTTTTATTTTTAATATGTTAAAAAAGGAATTTCAGCTAACTATAATTGTAAATAATTTAATTTTAATTTTTTTATCTTTAATGAAATGATTATCAACCACATAAATATTTAAATATTGTTTTAGATCATAAATTTCAAAAAACTAATTTTCTTCTAAACATTACACCAAGTTAAAGAGTGTCAAATAAAAAAAACCGAGAAGTGAATCAAAAAGAATAATATTTCCTCCGTTTTAAAAAGAATAATCTCCTTTTCTTTTTAGTTTGTTTAAAAAAAATGACATTTTTCTTTTTTTGGTAACATTTTAATTTTAGTTTTACATGTGACATGTTTAAGACCGCAAGATTAAAGACAATTTTGTACATTTGATATAAATTTAATTTAGGACCACAAATTTGAAAAGTCTTTTTTATTTTCTTAAATTCCGTGTCAAATCAAACTAAATCATTCTTTATAAAATAGAGGGAGTAAGAAAAAAATAGTAGGTAATTGGATGGGAATTGTACTGAAACAAATGGTTGATGTTTAGTGAGTGAAGTTAACGCGCTTGTGTGAGAATGTTGTGGTTAATAAGGGTATGGTATTCGGACGCGTGGGGATTTAATTAGGGTGACTACTAGGGCCCAGGTAAATATTTGCGTCCGTATTAGAATCTCAAAATTAAATATTTGGACATTGTTATTGCTGTCTTGGATAGTGAAGGGAAAATAGATGAATGGGTGAAAAGATTGAAAAATCGAACGCTCGTCAGGAAAATTAATTTTATTAAATAGACGTTTTGCCATGCGATATTATATTACATTATAGTATCGTGAGATGAAATCAGCGTTTGGATATGTGAGATTACGCGGATTCCATCTCATAATTTCATATCATGATATGTGATTTCATATTTTTCAAAAACCATGATATGAAATTATATGGTAATTTTATATCATGATTTGAGATATTATAATAGAAAAATTGATCCACAAATTTATATTTTATTAAAACAACGTCACATATATATCTACTAACTATTTATTTCATATGTAAATAAAATTTATATTCACATTATTACTTTTTAAAATTTATTATTCTCACCAACATAAAATTTATTATTCTCACCAACATATAATCACTTTAACTCGCATCAATCGATTGTTAAAGTGATTAAATATTTATGGTCTATGAGCATGAAAAAATATAGTTGCGGATGATATTGACCAACAAATTGCTCAAAGTAACAATGTTGGTTCGTCTTCTCGGTCACATGATCGAGAAATACAAGGTTCAACGTGAGAAAATTATTCGTACTATGTGAAAGGATTATATTAAAGACTAGTACCCTACAATTTATGTTCAATTTTTTTTATTAAATTAAAGTTAGATGAACAATTACTTAAGTGGAGAACAAATAACTTTGTAATAATTTATTATGCGATTTTATAATTTTTTGTTTATTTGATAAGATTGAATAAACAATTGAGGCTATTTTAATAGTTTTACAACTTATAGATTTTTATGTTTATAAGAAAATATACAACACAAAAATTTCATATCGCATGTCCAAACAAAACTTCAATTTCATCTCATTATTCCATATCATGATACCATATCGCATGGCCAAACGGGCCCTAAGATTTATTATCTCGTATAAGTAGACATTAAAACGTTTATGAAGGTTAGAAAATTCTTCTGAAACATGTTATAATAACTAAATGAAACCTTAGCTAGGTCCGGCTTGACCAGAGGCGAATTCAGAATTTTAAGAAAACGGGTGTATCATTGCTAAAGATAAGATCAAAAAATTTAGGGATAAGAGTCGAAAAAAAATTCTAACTTTGGTCGAATTTGTTGTTACGATTCTAAACTTTCATGATAACTTATTACCTCCCTAAACTATTTAATAGTGTATTTTTTATACCACTGAACTATTTAGTAGTGTATTTTAAAGATATATATGTGCCCATGTGGACACATTACTATTTATAATTTTGCATTATTTTTTATGTTCACGTGGACAAATATATATGTTTAAAATACGATATTAAATAGTCTAAGGAGATAATAGGTCCTCATGAAAGTTTAGTATCGCAACAACAAATTCGACCAAAGTCGGGGTATTTTTTAGACCCTTATCCCAAAAATTTATAATAACAATAACTAAGCGAGCAAAACATAAAAAAATACTTTATCACAAAAAATATCATTAGTTTACAATTGTACTCTATGAGATTTCATATTTTGAAAACAATCTATAATAGCATCATTACTTACATTTTCAAATATCTCCGCTCTATCTTACAAACTAAACAACCATTAACTCTTGATGATTTCCTATTATAAGTAATGACAAGATTATTTTTTTACGGAAACTCTAAAATTAAAGTGATATATTTAATTTTTTATTTATTTTGTTAGTTTGTTTATTAAAAAGAGAAAATAAAAACTAAAAAAAAAAATTACCTTAAGCTTTGACAATGATGATTTTTCTAGATTTTTTACTTGAAGTTGGAGACTTGGAGTTCTTTGTGTGGAAAATAAAAGGAAAATTGAAAGAGAAAAAAAATATTTTTGAAACTAGAAAAGTGGGAGAGAAGGAAACTTGAACTTTTGAAGTCTTTTGACTTTAGAACTTTAAAATTCAGATTTTTTTTTCTTCTGAAAAACGTGTATTAAAAAATTGAAGCAAATTGTGACTGTTTGGGATCGAACTCGGGATTTTGGTGTTAAAATCTGGCTGTCAAATTAGTGAATCATCCAGCAATTTTGAGAACGGAATCCATTTATTTAATATATTCTTTAATAATTATACAAATAATATATCGAGTTTAATCGGATGACCACGAGTTTCGATGACCCAAATTTAATACATAATTTGCCCCTGGACTTGACCCATTTCTTAAGGTTCATCCTATGTCAAATTCGCTCGTGTGTGTACACATTATATCTGAGTTGTTGTTTCATTCTATATCGATCCCTTTGGGGACCTCAGATAAAATTGAATTAATAGAGAAAATTAGTATGATGTTTGCGCAAGGAGTGATATAATTATTGGGGGTTTAGATATGTAAAGACTATTGAGAAAATCAAGTAGATTTTGATAAGATTCCCGAGATAGGAAATGTCAGGAATAGGAGTCTAGGATTTTCATTGGTTGCTTCTATAGATATGAAACATAGTGAGACAATTACGCTAGATTTTCTTTAGATTCTATTTCCTAATTTTATTTTATTTTATATTTTAAAAGTTTGCTTACAAATGAAACTCATATGCTAACATGTTCAAGATTTAATAATAAATATTCATAAACTGATTTTATGTGACTATGCCATTGATTTTAATACCCAATGATAAGGAAAATAGTATGAAGAGATTATTCTTTAAACCTAACTATGACTCATCATGGGAAAGTTGGAATTTGAAAGGAAAAATGTAAAGCCCCAAAAGTCTGGTAATATGCAACTAAAGGAATCTTCAAAGCCAAACAGTATACTAATGATTATAATTTTTATTTAATTAAGCTACTTTTTATTGTTCCTTTTTTCAATTATTTTCTTATTCATTCATTTAATAATCAAATCAACTGGAAATTCAGTAATTCACTAAGTTTGGAAAATCAAAATCTTAATGAAAAGTTGGTATAGATATACTAGTATATACGCAAGTGGAATAACTTGGATTTGATGATATTGATGTTGCTTAATTTTTCAAAATAATGTACTTATTTATAAGCTAATTTTGATAAGATTGTGGGCAGTGGGCACAAATGGAAAATGGCGAAGGGATTATATAAGATAAAGAAAATGGTTTCTCGTCGTTAACAAGGTGAAAGTTAAGATTGAAGGTGACAAATTTAATTTATGAAATAATAAACGGTCTAACATGTTTACGTTTGGGCTAATTATTGACCCGCCAATTTTTTCGCTTAACCTATTAAAATTTAGATTTAATCTAAATTAATTAATGAAAAATTTTGTTAAATTATTTTTAAATTTATATTAAATTATATAAAATTTAAATAAAAACAATATTATTTATAATTTATATTAAAATGAATAAGGTTGACAAATATCAAAGGAGGACTGTAGGGATGGCAGATGAGCAAAAATGGGGTCAGCAGAAAAAAGAAAAAACAGACAGTACTTGTGTAATGTGTTGTGTGGTTTTTGAATGGATAAGCATATGACAATATTTTCAAACATTTTTGGATAAAAATATCAACAATCTTATCTGATTAGGTTTGCACAGTAAAGATCCCCTACTTCCCAGGTTCAAAGTTTTAAATTTATAATTAGTTAATTAATTTCATAACATATTATAAAAATTATTAAATTCATGTAAACTCACGTAACATGTGCTAAATTCCCCGCAACCCCTCTTCTCAGTCTATATATCATGTTGGTGGATAGGACATTTTGACTTTTGTATAATTACTTGGA